TTTTATTTATTCATTTAAGACAGAGAGAGAGAACACAAGCAGGGGTGAGGGGATGCAGGGAGAGGGAGAAGCAAACTCCCCACTGGGCAGTGAGCCCAATGTGGGCTCAATCTCAGACCCAGGGATCACGACCTGAGCTGGAGGCAGACACCTAACTGGCTGAGCCATCCAGGTGCCCCCAAACTTTTTTTTTTTTAAAAGATTTTATTTATTTGTCAGAGACAGAGCACAAGAACAGGGAGAGGCAGGCAGAGGGAGAAGCAGGCTCCTCGTTGAGCAAGGAGCCTGATGTGGGACTCTATCCCAGGACTGTGGGATTACGACCTGAGCCGAAGACAGATGCTTAACCAACTGAGCCACCCAGGCGTCCCAAAACTTTAAATTCATACAAAAGTTGAGCTTGTGTAAGAGTCCTGCCCTAATGTGATACTGAGATTGGGCATTTCATGATGTTCTCCGAATAGATGGGTCAATTTATATTACTGACTAGAAGTTAATATATACAATGAAGTTTTCCTTGAGGTTAATTTTCCTTGAGGCTATAGGGGTATCACTTGGGAGTAGGCTGGTGTGCATTCAAGTCATGTAATCATAACTTTTATTTATTTACTTGCTTACTTTTTATTTTCCAGAGATGATACATCTGGAAAGTTGGTATTCAGGTAGTTGGTAGATCGTGTAGTTCAACTAATTCCTAGATAGAAGCTGTTTCTTTTGATACCAGAGGTAAGTGTAAAAGAAAACTATTTTTACTTTGTTTGGATTTTTAATCACCTCCTAAGTTTTGGGGCCCCGTGTTCTTAGTAGCTAGAATTTGGTAGTTTGAAAAAGCCTTAGTTCTTACGTTAAGAGGGTTTGCTTGGTTTAAAGATGAGGAGCTGGTGGTGGTTCGCCCTTCATCAGTCATTTACAGTTTGCCATGATGAAATGCATGTTAAGTCCGTGTTTCAGCTGATCACCCTGATTAAACACATGCTCTGAGAGACTAAAGCTAGGGCAAATACCTGGAGTTGAATTCTGCTTCTTGGAATTCTTACTGGATTCTAGCCTCCAGTTCCAGGTAGTTCTTAAATCTTTGAATTACAGATCTGACACTACAACACTTTGTTGTGCTTTGATCTTTTGTGGTATCTTCTTGAGATAGGCAGAACTAGGGTCAAGAATCCTTAATCTAAACATTCAAACACTACGGAAAAAACACTGATAACTGGTATAATTCTGTCAACCATTTTACTCAGCAGTTTTAAACTTATCACTATTTTATTAATTTATATGTAAGATTAAGAGAATCTCAAATGATACATTATATGTTAAAAAAAAAAAAGATTAAGAGAATCCCAGAGGGTTAAGTCAATTTTGCCAAGATCATAAAATGTGACACTATATGGACATTTAAAAGTTATGATAGAGGTTTATCTTTCTTGAAATGGAAGGGTATTCATGATACATTAATAACAAGTTATAGAGCAGTATGTGTAACCCTTTTTATGCTTAAACATTTTCTTTTTTTTTTTTTTAAGATTTTAAAATTTTATTTATTTGACAGATAGAGATCACCAGTAGGCAGAGAAGCAGGCAGAGAGAGAGGGAGGGAGGAAGCTCTCTCTCTCAGCAGAGAGCCCAATGCAGGGTTGGGTCCTAGGACCCTGAGATCATGACCCAAGCTGAAGGCAGAGAGGCCTAACCCACTGAGCCACCCAGGCACTCACGCTTAAACATTTTCATATACTTATGTTTACTTCAGAAATTATCTGAAAGGATATATTCAAATACCAGGGGTTATTGTCTCCTATAGAATTTTATTCTAAGGGTGATCTTGTTAACTTGTATTTTTTTTTTTTAATATTTTATTTTTATTTATTTGACAGACAGAGATCACAAGTAGGCAGAGAGAGAAAGAGGAGGAAGCAGGCTTCCTGCTGAGCAGAGAGCCCGATGCGGGGCTCGATCCCAGGACCCTGGGATCATGACCCGAGCCGAAGGCAGAGGCTTCAACCCACTGAGCCACCCAGGCGCCCCTGTATTTTCTGACTTTACTATATTCAGGTATTGTATAATTGAACCTACACAGAACAGGCTTCTATCCTTTACCCGTGCCTGCATGTTTTGGCAGAGAATGGGGTACACATGAGGCAGAAATACAGGAAACGGTAATAATTCAAAGTAACATCAGCACTTGAAGTAGTTTTTAGTTTTGGCTATGTCTTTTGCAGAAATGAAGTTTCAGGAGACTGAAACTAGATCTGAGTCTCACTTCTTTTCCCAGGCTGGAATCCTTGGGTGCTCTAAGTCCTGGATATACAATAGATGATGACAACATTTTTCTGTTATGGTAAGGCTTATCTGAAATCAAGAAACTTTGACATATATATGAATCTTTGAAAATTCAGCTTTATGACTTCATGGCCATCTGCTAAGTTGCTACAGAAAATTTTGTTTTTTAAAAAAGTCAATTAAGGATGTTGAGAGGTTAGCATGATATAATAGTTACACATGGTTTCTGGAGTCAGACAGGGTTCAGACCCATCTTTTGTCACGTAATCAGTTATGTAAACTTGGCAAGTTTCTTAACATCTCAGGGTCTTAGTACCCTTGTATCTTAGAAGATGAGAATAATAGTACTGGATTCAGAAGAATAGTACTTGACTTTGAAGATTATGTAATAAATGCATGGGCTTAAAACATTGTTTAAGCATATGGTAATCACTCAAAAATGTTAGCTGTTTTATCTTCAAAGTCCTGTGCAGTTTTTGCTTATATGCATCTTTCTGCCAGTTGGTCTATACCTCATTATGTTCATCTCCAGCACACAAAACTCAATTGAATTCTAGAATTAGGCAAAGTATAGTGATAAGGACTATAGGGTATATCTCTATATAACTGTCCCAGTAACATTTTCTTTAGTTGATTGATCTTGTTTTGGTACCAATTTATGTATCATCTTATTCCTCATTTTGTCTATCTAGCTGGCTCTTCTAGCTCTTAGTTCACCTAAAAACTTAGACGTAGTGATTCCTATTAAGAGCGACTTGATAGCTTTATTTTTATAAATGTTCCTTAAAGCATTTATTAAAATGGTTGGAGATAAATTTTGATGGCTGTTCCTCTCACTGCTTGGAGCTTTTGGTAGTGGGATTTTATTCCATCGTATATCAAAGCTGACTTGTCTTCACTCAGGGCACCATGGGGATGCATTGGCCATCCATTAGTGTCTTCTGATTTTTGCGGAGTCAAACAATTACAAATCAGGTAGTGATAGATTAAGAATGTACCTGTGATTGAAAAATAAAACTAATATGAAAACATGAGGATGTAGTTTTTAGAAATCCTTTTGACTACAAAAGTGTTTGAATAGCACTGACCTAGGACTATAAAAGAGGTCTAGTAAATTGATTCTGAGAGTTACTGAAACATTATGCTCTGAAATCATTAAATTTTAAGTGGTTTAATTAGTTTTCTATTGATGAGTTTCTACTGATCATTTTTCTATTGAGTAGCTGTTTATATATTTCAGGTTAGCATTAAAAATGTCTTTTTCTTTCCAGCATGAAGGTAGATGATTTTCAAATTAAAGATGGAACGTGACTTTTCTCACCAGAAATGGCTTATAGAATCAACTTGCAAAAATATAAGAGACACCAAAGGAAAGAGTAAAATACTTGCTTTTATCATTCTTAGATTCTTTGCTAGATTATAAACTCCATGAAAGTGGGAAAGCTTCCTTATCTGTAATGCCTGGCCCAGAATAGATACTGAAAAATACATGAAGTGATTTGAAACCTCCATTAATTTTTTTTTTTTTTTTTAGATTTTTACTTATTTATTTAATTCTCAGAGAGAGGGAGAGAGCACAAGCAGTGGGAGTGGCAGGCAGAACAGGCAGAGGGAGAAGCAGGCTCCCTGCCAAGCAAGAAGCCCAATGTAGGACTTGATTCCAGGACCCTGGGATCATGACCTGAACTGAAGGCAGCTGCTTTACCAACTGAACTCCCCAGGCGTCGCAAAATTTTTTTTAAGTCCCTGGAAAATGGCAACCATTTTAATGGCATTTCAGCAAGATATTTATTTATATGTAATAATTGGGACTTCAATTTTCATTCTGACTCTGATTGAAATTGTATATATAGGTACATTAAACTATCTGAGTACCACGGAGTCTACTTAAAACACTTAGTATTTGGGGAGCCTGGATGGCTCAGTTGGTAAAGCCTACAACTCTTGATCTTAGGGTTGTGAGTTCAAGCCCCACCTTGGATATAAAGATTATTTAAAAAATAAAATCTTAAAAAAAATTAAACTCTTGATACCTAATTATGATGCCTGACCCATTAAGAGTCAATGAAGAATGGCTACCAAAACAATCTGGCTATGTGAGGAATAATATAAAATGTGAGAAGGATTTCATTTTATTAAAGCTGAGTGATGTTCATTCTTCACACATTTTTTTTGTATGCTTAATATTTAATAATAAAAAATAAAAATTTTTAAAAAAGCTCTTTTTGGTGGTTGGGTCTTTGTATTTCAGCCTTGATTGAGTTCAGTAGTATCATCCCCAGGAGCCCTCTAGAAAAGAGCCAATGAAGGGTTTGTCTATGCCATAACAGAAGAGTACACAGTGCCACTGAGAAGCAGGCTAGTTCAGGTCCTGGTGTTCCAGATTACTGCGATATTAAGACTTTGTAGCACCCTGCCCCCATTTATTCTATCTGCCAAAACATGTTGGCAAAAAAAAAAAAGTATACATACATACATAACATGTACATACTACACACACATATATATGTTACTCCTACAAACTTCTGGCCAAATGGTTTAGAAATTTGTAACTGAGTTAGTGGGAAAATTTTGTGGGGAACACTAAGGTTTGGGGAATCAGTTGTCTTAATGAAGAAGTAGAAGAGATCATATTGCAGTACAAAGGTAAGTTAGATCACAAAATTAGGTTCTGGCTGAATTTGAATGCTTTATGTTTTCTAACTTTGAGATTGTACTCTTTTGTTGTACTACATTTGGCATTGTTAAAAATCAGAAAATGCACAAAAGGCTCAGATAGCCAAAATAGATGTGAGGAGTTTACACATGAAACCCCAATTTTGTTTGAATCCAATTTGTACCACTGGAATTAAGTTACCACTCTAAACTTTCAAGACATTTTAGGAAATGTATGCAGAGGTCAAGATGACCTTTTCTAAGTACTGTGAACAAGCGCTAAGTAGACCGAAAACTAGCAGAAAATTGTTTAATTAGGATAGGTTTTTGTTTGAAGAAGAATGGGTTAGAAATTCACTACCCAGAAAGAGGTTTGCAGGGCTTTGGTATCCATTGTGTTGTTGATTCATTGGATTGTGTCTTACTAATTCACAATGGGGTCACATCATCTGGATAGGTGGCTGGCCACAAAAGACAGCATTAAGGCTTGTATTCTGAGAACCCCTCAAGCCCTTCTCAGTTTAGTTTCAATATGGATTCTAATGAACTCATATAGATTGAGCAAAAAATCACACAGTTTACAAAGAACAGAAAAGAAAGTGACAGGTAATAGCATTGGGGTAAAACAGGCACAAACATTTAAACAATTACAAGTAGGTCCAGGAGAGCACCTAAAAAAAGCGGACACCTCAAAAAAGGCAGGCAGATCACCTCAAAAAAGCTGACACCTGATCCTCTCGCTTCGTTACAGGCGCTGTAATGAATGTTCCTAATACAGATTTAAACGAAGGAAAAGTTCTATTTTCTTTAAATGTATATAGAGGATGTGTAAAAGCTAGAAAGATGTCTTTATCAAGATGGATTGAAAAATAAAACGGCAGAATCTACCTCAACATGGAGGTGATAACTATCCAAGTACAGGTATCTCAAATTTCTGGGACTTTTCCTTTAAACAACTTAGCAAGTCTGTGCTGCCCAGCCGGTCCTCCCCAAGAGCTCCCAGGACAAACACCCGCGTATACTCAGGCGCACAAGCTAGCCCTGTTAGCTTCCCAGCTGTACCTGTCCTGCTCTTATTCAGGAGCCTCTAACCTCAAATGTTATACCCAGGATAGCCTAGGATGTTACCTTTTGTGCCAGTTGAGGGCAGTAAAGGGTACTCCATGACCTATCCACGGGGCTCCCATGTGGGAAATCCGGACCATGCTCAGTGGGAGTCATGCCCTCACAGCGCCTGAGACGCGCGTGCGTGGGGATATGTGCCTGAATCCAGGTGCCACAGCCTGACGGTCCCAGGATCCTGCGCGGCCGGAAGCCGTGTGCCCACCACCCAGCGGGCTCCAGGGCCACCCCACGCATGCGTTCTGTGTCGTACTGGAGAGGTACCGCGAATCCTCGCTCGTGTAGTGCTAGAGTTGTGGAGGCGACGGCGTTTTCCCGCGCTTTTTCTGGGCCCCTCAGGTTGGATATATTATTTGTATTATTGTTGTTATTATTTTCTCTGTACAGTGCAGAAAGCAGAAAGAACTCAAGTGAACTTTCCGTAAGTCCAATTCTTAAAAACTTGGTCTTCAGTAACTTAAAATTTACCGAATTGGCTTTTCCCCGAGTCGGGGAAAATTTGGAATTAGCTGCACTTTCCGCTCTGCCTGAGAAAGCTCTCAGCTTTAAAACTTCCCAGCTCTTCTGCTTCCCCTGTGCCTGTTATCCTGCTGGAGGTAAAATAGGCCTCATAATTCGCGCTGCAAGGTGCCATTTATCGTTGGAGACTATCGCAGTGGGTACTTAGGGGTAAAGATGTCAGAGTGCCCTCATCGACCCATGTGACCAAGGCAACATTTTTTTTTCCCCCCCTTTGGATCAAGGCAACATTCTTGACAGAATTTGTCGGTTAATAAATGTGTTAAATATGAATGTTTTCCTTGGTGTGTAATTGGTGTGTCAAAGTTATTTCATATAACATATGATTTTGGTATATCCATAATATTGCTGTCCAGTTTGGATTAGTAAAACCAGTGAGAGTGGACACTGTATTGAAAAATAACAGAAGAGTATTTATTTATTTATGAGTATTTATTTAGTTTTACAAACTTTTTTTTTTTAGGTTTTATTTATTTATTTGAGAGGGAGAGAGCACAAGAGAGCAGAGAGGTCAGGGAGAGGAGCAGGCCCTTTGCCAAGCAGGGAGCCTGATGCGGGACTCAATTCTGGGACTCCAAGATCATGACCTGAGCCAAAGGCAGTTGCTTAACCAACTGAGCCACCCAGGCACCCTAGTTTCACAAACTTCTTTACTGAGAGTATAGCATTCAATAGTATTTATATTAATAGGTGAATTACTTGATGGTAAACAGCTTTTGTTCAGATTTTCAGTTTTCATAATGGTCATTTGCTGGAACAAATTAAATTATTTTCCATTTAATACTATCATATCATTACTCTTTTTTAGGTAAGGCAACACAGGTAAAGAATCTGAGAAATCAGTGTATATGAAAAACCTAAAACTGTAACTTAAAAAACACTTTTTCCTAAAGAGTGGCTGAAATTGGTGCCTGGACTTATATCCGCCAAGCGTGAGAAGTGGTACTGAAATATTCTGGCAAACTATGGATGGGTATAAATTTAGCTTTTTTGTTTAGGCATTGAGGAATGGCAAAAGGCACTGATTAATTTTTAGTTGTACTTTGTAAATATTCCTAAACTTTATTTTCCATGTGCATATTATTTTTGGTTTTAGTAAGATTTGGATCACTTGTGTCTTTAATTTTTTCTTTAAATTTTTTTTTCATGGGCTTTCTAGAGGTTTATATAAAGGAGCACAGTTAATATTGTCAAGTGATTGAAATCAATATATTGATTATAATAAATGCAAACAATAAAATACATTATTTTATCATAATAAAATGAAAACATGCTCTATTTCATTTCATTGAAATTTGACTTATTTCACTTTTTCATTTACCTCTTATTAGGATTCTTTTCAGCATCTGGAGACTTGACTCTCTATTATGTCTTTGTGTGAAGACATGCTGCTTTGTAACTATCGCAAGTGTCGCCTCAAACTCTCTGGTTATGCATGGGTCACTGCCTGCTCTCACATCTTCTGTGATCAGCATGGCAGTGGTGAGTTTAGTCGGTCACCAGCTATCTGCCCTGCCTGCAATAGTACCCTTTCTGGAAAGCTAGACATTGTCCGCACAGAACTCAGTCCATCAGAGGAATATAAAGCCATGGTATTGGCAGGACTTCGACCGGAAATTGTGTTGGACATTAGCTCCCGTGCACTGGCATTCTGGACATATCAGGTTAGTGCTTAGGCTTGTTTTTTTGGAGAGTGTGATTTGACGCATATGTAGAAGTTTCTAATGTTTCTCCTTCATTGTGTTTGTATTCATTTTTTTTAAAAGATCTTATTTTATTTTTTTTTATTTGTTAGAGGGCACAAGCAGGGGGGGCGGCAGACAGAGGGAGAAGTTGGTTCCTCTCTGAGCAAGGACCTTGATGGGGGACTCAATCCCAGGACCCTGGGATCATGACCTGAGCCAAAGGCAGATGGTTAACCGAATGAGCCACCGAGGCATCCCTCATTTTTTATGAATATATAGAAAACACTCTTTTAAATAATTTAAAAAAAAATTATTTATTTATTTGAGAGAGTATAAAAGAGAGAGAGAGAGAGAGTGTGTGTGTGTGTGTGTGTGAGAGAGAGAGAGAGAGAGAGAGAGCTTGCGCACAAGTATCAGGGAGAGGCAGAGGGAGAAGCAGACTCCCCTCCAAGCAGGGAACCTGATTTGGGATTGGATCCTAGGACCCTAGGACCCTAGGATCATGACCTGAACCAAAGGCAGATGCTCAACTGACTGAGCCACCCAGGAACCCTAATAAATTTTTTTTAAGTAATAGGTTAATTTTTGGAAATCCAAAAGAAAGAAAAAAAAATGAACCATAATTCCATCACTCCAAGATCACTGTGATATATTTGTTTGTGTATTGCTGGACTTTTTCTGTGCATAAATATGTATTTTGTCTAAAAGTAAGGGTAATAATCAGTTAAAGCTGACATTATGCTTATGAATATTTTATTAGGTATTTTAAAGTTAGCTATCCTATAATTATAATTTTAATAGTTGTATTGCATCATAATTTATTTTCACACTATAAAAAAAGTGGTGATGAGCTTTCTTATCAAATTCCACATTTAATTTTTTGCTAATTTAAATTCCTTAAAGTGGATGAATACATTTCAAAGTTGTAAAAATTGCAGTATTTTGGGATGCCTGGTGGCTCAGTTGGTTAAGCATCCAACTCTTGATTTCAGCTCAGGTCATGATCTCAGGATCGTGAGATCAAGTCCCAAGTTGGGCTCCAAGCTGAGTGTGGAGCCTGCTTAAGATGCTTTCTCTTCCTCTGTCCCTCCCCTGTATGCTCCTCTCTCTCTCTCTCTCCTAAATAAATAAGTAAATAAACAAGTAAATAATTGGGGACACCTATGTGGCTCAGTCGGTTAAGCGTCTGCCTTAGGTTCCTCTCTCTCTCTCTCTCCTAAATAAATAAGTAAATAAACAAGTAAATAATTGGGGACACCTATGTGGCTCAGTCGGTTAAGCGTCTGCCTTAGGTTCAGGTCATGATCCCAGAGTCCTGGGATGAGTCCCATCAGGTTCCTTGCTCAGCGAGGACCCTGCTTCTCTCTCTGCCTCTACTGTTTCCCCTGCTTGTGCTCTCTTTCTTTCTCTCTGAGAAACATAAAATCTTAACAGAAGATTTTTTTAAAGATTTTATTTATTTATTTGACAGAGAGAGATCATAAGTAGGCAGAGAGAGAGAGAGGAAGGAAGCAGGCTCCCTGCCGAGCAGAGAGCCAGATGCGGGACTCGATCCCAGGACTCTAGGATCATGACCTGAGCCGAAGGCAGAGGCTTAACCCACTGAGCCACCCAGGCACCCTTAAAAAAAGATTTAAAAAAAAATTAAAAGTTGCAGTATTTTATTTTATTTTTTAATTTTTTTTAAAGATTTCATTTTTAAGTGCTCTCTATACTCAATGTGGGACTTGAACTCACAACTCTAAGATCAAGATAGCATGCTGTGAGCCAGCCAGGCATTCCCAAAATTGCAGTATTTTAAAATTGCCCTCCAGTTAGGCCATATTATTTTGTGTTCCCTTAAGTGTATGATGGTGCATGATTCTCCATACTTTCTACTCACCAATTAGTATGAGTAAAGTAGAATCTTGTTTATCTTTTAATATGCCTTTCTTGGATGACTTTTAGATGAAAACATTTTCTTGTATTTTTTTCATGAATTTTTCTATTATGAATTGCCTGTTTCAGTTTGCTTATTTCAATTGCTATAGGTTTTTTCTTATTGATAAGAATTCTCTATATATCTAACTCAGATGTTACAGAAATTTTCTTTTTTCAGTTATCTTTTATTAGTTTGATTTTTAAGTTGGCCTTTTTACTGTTGAGTTCTAAAAGTTCTTTGTATGTTTTGGGTATACAGTCTTTTATGAGATAATGTCTTTTACAAATATTTTCTCTTAGTCTGTGGCTTGTCTTTTCATTCTCTTGACATTATCTTTTGCAGAACAGAAATTTTTAATTTTAATGAAGTCTAGCTTATCAATTTTTTCTTTTGTAGATTGTGCTTGTTGGTGTTGCATCTAAAAAGTCACCATCAAACCCAAGATCATTTAGATTTTCTCCTTTGTTATCATATTGCAATTTTACAGTTTTGTGTTTACATTTAGGTCTTGATTCGTATTGAGTCAATTTTTGTGAAGGTTGTACAGTCTATGTTTAGATTCAGTGTGACCTCAGTATTTTGCTGGCTATTGCCCAAAAAGTGCTCTCGGTAACTTGGCTTATTGCCCTTTGTAATATGGCTACTTGCTTCTACAAAGCCAGCCAAGAGAGAGAATGTGCTAAGGCAGACTTTATAGTCTTATGTAGTGTGTTCATCCTGTCATTTTTCCTGTATTCCAGTCATAGTTTCTGTCCACATTCAAAAAGAGGATCTGAGTACAAGGAGGCAGGGTTAATTGGAGGCTATCTTATAATCTGCTCTCTGTAGTATGGATTACTTGAGATATGAAATTATTTCATAAAAACCTTAAGACTACATGTCACTTGTTAAGGTTAGACAAATCCTTTTTTTTGTTAGTATATTTGTAGTAGTTTGAGAGTATTCCTTCAGAATTTTTTCCTATGCATTTAGTGACACAGTGTATTATTTACTATAATAACCATCCTATTGTACATCTGGATTCCTTCTTAACCTGGTTCTAAATGTTAAATTAATAACATCCCAGTGTAAGTCTTTCTTTTTCTTTTACATTTAAAGTTTTACAATATATAACTATATTTATTACCTTAAAAGTCTTTTTTTTCCTGTCTTGGGACAGGTACATCAGGAGCGTCTCTATCAAGAATATAATTTCAGCAAGGCTGAGGGCCATCTGAAACAGATGGAAAAGATATATACTCAGCAAATACAGAGCAAGGATGTAGAATTGACCTCTATGAAGGGGGAGGTCACCTCTATGAAGAAAGTGCTAGAAGAATATAAGAAAAAGTTCAGTGACATATCTGAGAAACTTATGGAGCGAAATCGTCAGTATCAAAAGCTCCAAGGCCTCTATGATAGCCTTAGGCTGCGAAACATCACTATTGCTAACCAGGAAAGTACCCTTGAGCCATCCATGATTGCACAGTCTGGTGTTTTTGGCTTTCCGTTAGGTAAGAAGCAACATGTAATATCCAATAACTGTTCTTTAAATCTTTCACACTGTGTTCTGCACAGTTCCAGGAAGTTAGTGGAGACTCCAAAGGCGTAAAGTGGTAGTAAGCTCCAGATTCTTCATCCATGTCTCAACATGTGCATCTTTGCTTTTATCTATTTTATTTGTTTGTGATTAAATTACATCTTCAATGTAAACAGAGAAAAAAATCTCTCCAAAGTAAAAGTTTTCATATTGGTACTTTAAGTGGAAAGCTATTTCCTTGCAGTAATAATAATAATATTAGCTGCTATTTATTGATTGTTTACCAAATACTAGACACTGTTACAGTTGTACATGTATTCCTCTTATTTTCAAAACTTCATGTACATCATATTATTATTATATTAATATTATTATTATTATCCTTATTTTACAGATGAGAAAACTGAGCACAGAAAATTTAAGTAAATTGGTCAAGGTCACAGAACTGTCTTCAGAGCCCACACTCAAAAGGGCCATGTTTGGTTTCTTTCACATGGCAATACTGAGTGCACCGTTCTTAACTTATTGTTGGTTGTTTGGTTCAAATTTTTTCATTTACCAAATATTTATCAGACATATTTCATGTGCTAAGCTGCTAGACATAATCCTAGGCAATGAGATATAAGAATTATCCAGATAGGATTCCTGCTTTCTGGAAGTGTACAATCTAGGAAGATGCCAGTACTTTTTTGCTTTCTAGGTGCTTTGGCAAATGCAATGAATATCGTATCTCTTCCTGAGTCCCCCTCTTTATACTACTCTTGATATAACAGAATCCAATAGATTTTTGTAATGCTATTAATGTTAGTTAGTTTTGGCATATAAAAAAGTGAGGTTTCTTGTACTTGACTTTCCTAAATATGCATTTTTTGAATTATAGGCTGAAGAAAAAGATTTAGTGGGAAGGAGATATCCTAGAAAAGACAGGAAGTAATGAGATGAGGTTTATCAGATAGAAGAACTGAAACAAAAATAAATTTTTGCTTAACTTTCAGTTAATCATAATTATAGTCAAAATGTTATTGTATATTAACACTGTAGATATTTTTTTCGTTATTATCCACATTTATTTTAATTTCTTTCATATTTACTAGTTCTTTCCTGTTCCACATTTTATGAACACTTAACTTTTTTTTTTTTTTTTTAAAGATTTTATTTATTTGTCAGAGAGAGAGGGAGAGAGAGCGAGCACAGGCAGACAGAATGGCAGGCAGAGGCAGAGGGAGAAGCAGGCTCCCTGCCGAGCAAGGATCCCGATGTGGGACTCGATCCCAGGACGCCGGGATCACGACCTGAGCCGAAGGCAGCTGCTTAACCAACTGAGCCACCCAGGCGTCCCTGAACACTTAACTTTTTACTTTCACCTCTTGCTACAGTTGTTGGCTTGAAGCAGATATAGTCCACACTCTGCCTTTAGTTAGTTACATGTTCCCTTTAAAACTTGTAGAAGCCAGAGAACGGCTCGGTTAAAGTTGTTAAATGCTTATTTAATCAGATCTATTGTCTGATTTTTCTTAAGGTTATTCTAATTGATCTTGGATCATGAGTATATGCCAATTGTTCATAGTTGTCATATATTTTTTAGAGTGTTTATGGCAATCTTTAAAAGAAAAATTATTCTTAAAGCACTGGGTCAAATGGTTTTATACACACACAATATTCCTTTGAAGTAGATTACATAGACAATGAATAAGATTATGAATTATAAGTTCTAGCATTACTAAAAACATATTTCATTGTGTCAAATTACTTTGGCTGATGAGGTCATGGCTATTGGAAACTGTGTCACAGCAGAAGATATGGTATATACTGTGGTCATGGAGGGAGTGGGAGCTATCATAGCCCTTTCTTTATCCAAAATTAGGTTTATATTTTACAGTCTCATAGGAGTTGATTTCTGTTAAAATATTTATTAAATAAAAAAATTTCTTAAATAATATTGTGTTTTGTTTCTAAAGATCTGTGAAGAAATAGATGCTTAAGTTTTTCACTTATTTTTTTCTAGGGAACAACTCCAAGTTTCCTTTGGACGGTACACCAGTTCGAAATCGGGGTGGTGGAGATGGAGATTTTCACTTCAGACCATTTTTTGTGGGGTCTCCCACAGCACCTGAACCCAGCAACAGCTTTTTTAGTTTTGCTTCCCCAAGTCGTGAATTAGAGCAGCAGCAAATCTCTAGCAGGGCCTTTAAAGTAAAAAGAATTTAGCTCACTTTACAGAATATTTCTCTGTTCACTGTTAGTGATCTCATTTAGCAAATAATCTTTATTCTGATTAGGATAGGAGTCACCAACCTTTGTGTGTTATTACATTTTCAACTTATGAGAAACTTAGTGCCAGTAGGAGTCCCTTTAGGGTCTGGCTTTTTTTTTTTTCCCATTATTTAAAGTATGAGCATTGTATTGAGCCCAATTTTATTGTGACTGTTGAGTTTTCATGTTTTGTAGATCACCATTTGTTTTCTGTCTGTGTTATTTCTGACTGAACTAGGTGTTTATGTATATGTACATAAGCACCTATATGTCTGCATGTCACTTTGTGTTCTGGTATTTACGCATATATGTGTGTATTTGTGTGTGTGTGTGTGTGTGTGTATTTGTGTTCCTTTATATTGATATTTTGCTGTATTTTCCAGTATATTTATGCAGAGACTTTGTTCTCAGGAAGTGGCAGGTGAATCTTTGTAGTTTGTTATTTGGGTATGTACATCTATTTGTATGTATTTTTGTATTTACCCTTGTATTAATTTGTTTGGAGTGTGCTCATGTTGGTGAATAAGAATACAATTTCATGCTTGTATGTTAAGTCTATATTTACAATTAAAAATGATTCACATTGAAAAAAAAAAAGATTCACATTGGGTGGGAGGTTTGGTGAGCCTGGTGGTGGGTATTATAGAGGGCATGTATTGCCTGGAGCACTGGGTGTGGTACATAAACAATGAATTCTGGAACACTGAAAAGAAATTAAAAAAAAAATTCACATTGATAAAATTATTTTGTAAAGTTGATTTTTTGGCATTTATTTTAAAATGAAATGACTCCACCCTTCTGACAGCAGTGCCTTATTTAGGGATGCACTCTTACCACAGAAAACTTAAAATATGTTATTGATCTCAAGAGATTATATTAATTAAAATACCTTTAAAGACTTATTCCTTGTTTTCCTTTATTAAATAGCATTTATGATCACTATCACAAACAACTTATTTAAACCGTAGAGCTGGCCCATATGGGTGGTTCAGTGGGTTAAGTGTCCGACTCTTGATTTTGGCTCAGGTCATGATCTCAGGGTCCTGAGATAGGGCCCTGGGTCTGGCTGTGCACTCAGCAGGAAGTCTGCTTCAGGTCTCCTCTCTCCCTCTGCCTTTCCTCCCCTGCACATGTGCTCTCTTAAATAAATCTTAAAAAGCAAACAAACAAACATAAAGCCAAGAAAGAAATTTGAAAAATACTTTCAGTTACTGTACATCCTTTTAGTGGCATGACTTGAAAGCATACTGGTTGCAAAAGCAGAACATCTAGGATCTAACTATGTTTTCTCCCCATAGGCTGGTTTTGAGTTTGAATTTAAACTTTCTGGGATTGCTTCTGAATCTGTAAAATGAGGGACTGAATTAAATTATCCTATAGACCTTTTCTAGCTCTTGAATTTTATTATTTATTTCTATTGGTGTAGGAGGAATTATAGTAGAATTACTCTAAATACCAAATCCCTTTGATATTTGGGTAATAAAGTCATACTGAATGTATTTGAGGATATTTTATATTGAGTCATAGGAAAGCAAGTGAATATCGTTGCTTTACATAATTGGATAGCAAGTACTGTTTTCTTCCTTAGTAGTATAGAATATAAAATTTTTTCAAAAACATTTTTTACTTATTCCAAAGTTAAAATGGTATATCAGAAAGAGGATGAAAAGTCTTCACTTAAAGAGTTTTAAAATATCTCTTCCCATTTCATAGCTGTTAACACATTTTATAGATTACATTACAAAGTATTTTTCTCTCTGCAGTTTAAATTTTGTTAGAAAATGGTGGGGAAATAATTTTATGTTTATTTATGATTTACTTCTGCTTTGAAACTTTGCTTCTTGTGTTAGGTTTATAGGATCAGTTTGAAATACATATAAGCTATAATTAAAAAGTAGAGAGAATTTCTTAGGACTTATACATGCTACTTTTAATTAGTTACTTATTGAAGAGTTTAATATAGTCACATGACACCAATTCAAAAAAAGTGTAAAACAAAGCATGGAGTGAGGTCTCCCTTTCACCCTGTCCCCCAGTCACTCACTTCACTTTTTTGAAAGCGACTACTGTTGTCAGTATCTTGTGTCTCTTTCAGAGATAGTCTATGTGGAAGCAACTAATATTTTATGTAAAAATTATGTTTATTTTTAAATAGGTACATGCACATGATAAGTTCAAAAGTGTACACAGCAAAAGCATTTTCTTTGCCTACTGACAACTCTTGGTCCCCATTTCCTTTTACAGAGATAGTCATTGTTTCTTATTTATCCTTCTAGACATAGTCTATCAATATGTTGGTATATATTAATGTACTGATATACTATTAGTTTATTAGTTATGACTTTCATGATACCATTCTGAGTATAGCAGAATTATTAATATAGTGTGTTCAAAATGATGAAATCCCTCTGATATAGAAAATAACTGTCAAGTTTGGAAAATATTCAGACAAATTACCTTACCATTGTACTACATTTCCCTTAAGGTTTTAAACTTACAACATAGGCATACACTGTCTGAACCTGTCCTTTTTTGGTGCGGAAGGTGGTATTATAATCTTGGTATAAATAGAAAGATATGGAACAAAAAGATACATGCAATCAACCTGAGAATATTAGAAGTTTCCAGGATTTGGGAAAAGAACAAGTTTATAAACTCAAAAGTGATTATAGAGCATCTTCTTTGAGCTACAGGCATTGGGTTAAGTTGATTTGCAGCAGTGCCGTTTCATGAAAATCAGTTTCTAGCCATCCTTTGCACACTTCTAGCATATAACCTTGCTCTAGTTCCTGCTTGGATGTACTTTTGGTAATGTGGTTGGAATGTATCTGGCTCAGAATTACGACATATCACACCTGGTTAAAAAAACTTATAGAAATTAAAAGGACTTGGACGTCAAGAAGAAATTCCCTAGTTCATGACGTGGACTCCAGCACGGCCTTCTGGATATACTGATTCTGTTGTTCTTGAGTGCCTCCTTACCCTCTGAGCCAAAAGTTTTTTTGTTTTAAATTCCAGCCTCAGTGATTTTCCTCTCTGCTAGATCCTGTGTTGGCTTAGAGTACCAATGGGCCATAAATTAAGAACTATCCTTTTCCAACATGCTCATCTCTTCCCTTCCTCCTTCTAGCCACTTGGGATGGTCTAAGACTGGAATGATGGTGCTAGATCCATAAATGTGACTCCTAATTACTAGTCTCTTCTTTATTCTTTGGGATTTCTACTGCTTTTTTGTTTTTTTCAGGAAAAAATTGATGAGTTTTGTATACCCGATCAGATATAAATAAGGCTGATTTCACAGTTTAGCAATTCTAATGGCTGTTTAAACATTTGGTACTAAATTATGTTGTTTCAAAGTAACTAAATTAAAGTCCAAAAGCTAGTTACTCCGAATTATCCATTTATTTTATACTGTTGTCAGAAAGCTCCAGAGTTGCTAATTTAACCAGTAAGTCAATTTGCTACTCATTAACTGAGAAACTATATTCTGAGAACCCTGTCAGGAATTAGGGAGTTTAAAGACATTTAAAATTAGAGCTTTTGTCTTCTGTAGAATTCATAGTCTACTATTCAAGTTTTTCCTCAATGATGTCTTTGATTTGGCTCTTTGCCCTCAAAAGAATCATATTTATTTTACGGGAGTACGGGTGTATTTGATATTATACGATGGATAAATGACAAGTTGCCCATAAAGGAAATTTTATGCCTTTTCACAATAAAAAATGTATTTGCATTGTAACTTTACAGTGATTCTTATACGAAAGCTTTTTTTGTTTTTTTCTTGCAATCAGAAACCACCATTTTAATTTATTAAATGTATAATTAGTCCATGTTTTTTTTTAATTAAAAAAATGTTTGGACACATAAAAAGCAAAAACAAAACCCCCAAACCAAACCCATTAATCCACCAGCTCCTCTACTCAGATGCAGATAAGCCTCCAGTGCCCTAGATGTCGCTCTGGCTCCACGATGCGGGGGTGGGTGGGTGGGTATGAGTCTCTGTGGTTACAAAGTTGGGGGCGGAGAAGCAGAGAGTGGCTGGGAAATGATGGCTGATGAAGACGAGGAAGTCAAGCAGGTCTTGCAGAAATTGCAGGTGGGACCATAGATTAAAATCTGTATGTGCCTTTGTTACTCGGGAAGAAGCGGGGAGCCCAGTTTATGTAGTACCAGCGAATTTCGTGGCGCATGCAGGACGCTGCATGTGTCAGTGCGGTTACTATAACAACTCCTGAGGGTGCTGCCGAGGTGGGAGAGGGGAGCCTCCCGGGCCGGGGGAGGAGCACTGCCGTGTGGTAGGACCTCCTGCTGCCGCCCTGACTACACTCAGTTTCAGTCCCGTGTGGAAGAGGATTTGTTGCTAACTTTATTCTTGCACGTTCTTAGGGAGGTTTTTCTTCTCCCTCCGTTCACCCGTTACAAGTCGTATACACATGTGTATGGTAGATCTGCAGGGGCTCTTATCATGTATTGTGATTCCCACAAAGGCCATTTCTTCGCTGCTTTACCTGCTTTGAAATGGACAACAAGCAGAGTAAGAGCTTGCACCACTAGTATCCTGGTCAGTCCCCTCAGGACTCCACAGTTTTGATTCTTTTGCACACTTGCAATCCCAGTTTGACATCTGATGCCGAGGGGTCCACATTCCACCCAGTTCAGAGTTGACTGCCGTTGTGACTAGGACTAGTCTTTTGTACTTGGTAGGTAGCCACTAACTGCTTGTTTGCTCTTTACCTTCTTTCAGTGACCCAAGATTTTCTTTAAGCCTCAGAAACTGAGTTCTTTGTGTTCTGAGACAGCCTAGAATTTATTTTTTATTTTTATTTTTTAAAAAGTTTAAAAAGTTTATTTATTGAAGTAATCTCCATACCCAGCGTTTGGCTCAAACTCACCACCTGGAGATCAAGGGTCGCATGCCCTTCAGACTGAGCTGGCCAGATGCCTCCCTCTGGAATAAACATTAGACCTGTGGCAGGTTTATAACCTGCTTAAAGGCTTGTAATGCAAAAGTTTAAACATTGGTGAGATTTGTTTGTTTTTTGAGGAGACTAAGATAATAACACCTTTTAGAGTGTGAACTTTATTTTACTTCCACTTGACTGAGATTAATTTAATTTCATTCCCTAGTGTGACTGGGGAATTCCTAGTGTGACTGGCTGAAATCAGAGATTCTCAATCCTGGCTCCATATTGGAAGCATTGTGTATATATGTTAGTATATGTATACTAAACAGTGGTTATCTCTGAGATTGTTTGGGAGATAATGAGGAATTTCTTACTTTGTATTTTTTTTATGTATACTTACATGAATTTTAGCAACTTACATATGTTAATTTTTCCATGAGACAAGAAGTTATTAAAAATGTGCACTCCAGCAAAACAAAACAACAAAGCCAAATAATTTCTTGCATATTCGTTTTCAGGACTAGAAGCAAACAATGAAACCCTCTCTAAAGTTCCTAATTTACAGCCATGCTGATTGCAGGGCAAAAGGAATTGTGTTACAAGTTTTGCTGAGAACTCTCTTTTCCTGGGCTCATTTGTGGTAGATGGATTAAGCAAGTACCTTGGGGTATCTTGGGGTGGGTGGACAGGAATGGTGCAGGAATGGAATGGGGAAATGGAGTAGAGGAGAGGAAAAGGATAGTGATACTGCTATCCATGGGAATGGTAGTATGTTTTGATTTCCTTGTCATTTTAGGACAGAAGGAATGTCATAAAAGGTTATTTCTCAAAGTGTGTTTTACAGGCCATTTTCATTACAGTCATCTGCGGTACTTGTTAAAAGGTGTTTGGGTTCTGCTAAAACTTCTAAAATCGGAATCTGCAGGCTGAGTCCTGAAAATAACACAAAGAGTATTTGAGAAACATTGCTGCTACAGAGGGTACTGTCCATTTTCTTTGCTGTGGGCAGGGTTTTAAATTAAGTATAGCCCATGAGTGTTAGAGACAGGGATGATTCGTTAAGCCATTCCATTAACATTTTTAATGAGAGCCTGTCATGTCCTAAGCCCTGCTGTCGTGCTCAGGTATAGCTCTGAACGTGCTCAGGTATAGCTCTGAACGTGGGAGATGGGAGATTAGGACCCTCCCTTCTTGGAGCTTACATTCTAGGGGTGGAGACAACAACAGACTGTTACTGTATAGGCCACACAATTTCAGCTGATAGGGACTGTGAAGAAAAATAAGTATGATTAACAGTGGGCAGAAGAGGAAGTGGTTACTTTAGTTTGGGTAGTCAGGGAGAGCCTCTCTGAGAAGTTTATAGTGAACTGAGGTCTAAATGATAATGAGGAATGAGGTGTGCAAAGATCTAGGGAGTGTCCAGGCAGAGGGAATAGCAGGTATGAACCCCCAGGGTGGGATTGAGTTTGCTGGATCTGAGGAAATGAATGAAAGCCAGTGTGGCTTGATTATTGTAGAAGGGAGGGCATGTGAGAGTGAAGGGAGAAGTTTGTGGCAGGGTGAGTAGTAGTGTGAGGTCAGATCGTACAGTCTTCTAGGCTGTGATTAGGAGTTAGATTTTATTCTCTCTATAGTGGAACACAGTTTGTGATGTGATGTACATTTTTGTGTGAGGCGAATGTGATAACCACTACACTACGGAAACGTGATGTACATTTTTGTAAGGTTGTCCCAACTACAATGAGGAGAATGGGAGAGAGTAGAAACAAGATGACCAGGTTAGAAGCTATTGGAGCAGTCCAGGCAAGTAATGGTGCTGATTTAGTCCTGGATAGTCCTAGTGAGAAGAAGACAGGTAGATGGGTTTAGGATGTGCTGTAGAGGTAGTTAAGATGTGACAGAACTATGTTATATATTTCTGCTGCTGGTCAGTTTCAGTAAAGAATAGATAGTGGAAAGGCTTTGTTGTCACAGGAAGACTCAGAGACAGAGGCATTTAAAATAGGAAACCGGGGAGGTGCCTGGGTGGCTCAGTTCGTTAAGCAACTGCCTTCAGCTCAGGTCATGATCCTGGAGTCCCGGGATCAAGTCCTATGTCAGACTCCCTGATTAGCAGGGAGTCAGTCTGCTTCTCTCCTTTCATGCTCTCTCTCTTTCTGAAACAAATAAATAAAATCTTTAAAAAAAAAAAAGTAGGAAAGGGAACATTTACTTGGGTCAAATGCAAGAGAGCAAGAAGGTGACTTGACAAAAACAAAACAAAACAAAACAATAAAATCCACAAATATTTAAAGAAACAAAATCCTGTAAAAATACCAAGATCCTTAAACTTAAACTTAAATTGATTTGTTTGTTTGGAAAGCAGTGGTTCTCTCATGTTGGTCATCATCATTGCAAAGCTCAGGTACTAGTACAAGAAAAATCAGGGATAGGATTGTTTTTGTTAGGAAGTCCAGCTTTAAGGGTGCATTTCGAAGTTTTGTGCTCTGGGGACCAGTAACCTTATTACCTTATTAACTCTGTTTTATCTCAAGTTGCAAAGTGTTTCCCTCCTCTTGACTGTGGTACATGAAGTGCTTAGTCATGCTGGAAGCCCTGCTGGGGCTGGAGGAGAGAGAACTATCATCATGGTGCTGAGACCGGCAGGGGACCACACAAGAGTGGTCTGGGACCTGGCTACTTTTCTTCATGATCTGTGGCATTTTGGGAGACCTGTCTGCTTGCCTCTTGTGTCATTCCTCAGTGAGAGAGCGGATCCGTATTTCTAGAACAGAGCTGGTATGGCTAGCCAGTTTCCAGTTTCCGTGTCTGGCATTCTCTCCTCTTAATGGTACCATTCTTACGCTTCCCAGGAACTGGTGGATCAGCTGTATTCGTTTCGAGAGTGCTATTTTGAGACACATAGTGTTGAGGATGCTGGAAGGAAGCAACAGGATGTGCGGAAGGAGATGGAGAAGACCCTGCAGCAGATGGAGGAAGTAGTGGGTATGAGTGGCAAGGAGCGCACAACCCCCTGCCCTTCACCGAAATGTGGTAGAGTTTTGCTCTCCCTTTGTAAACCCTTTGATATCCCATTTGTGGTTGCTACAGGATGGTACAACAGAGTATTTCTTCTGAGGGCCCCTCTGTAGGATGGCTACCTTTTAGTCCTTTAAACTATGTTTTCTGAAGTTTGATTATAGCAGATTCCATGAAATAAAAGAACATAACTGTTCCTTAAACTACCTTTTTTTTAAATGATTTATGTACTTACTTGAGAAGGGAGGAGAGAGAGAGGGTGTGTGTGTGTGTGTGTGTGAGAGAGAAAGAGAGAGAGAGAGTTAGGGGACGGTCAAGGGGGAGGGGAAGGAGACTCCCTGTTGGCTGAGTGGAGCCTTACTCGGGGGTCGATCTCAAGACTCCAAGATCATGACCTGAGCTGAAACCCAGAGCTGGACGGACACTCAACCGTCTGTGCTACCCAGGTGCCCTTAATCTCTTAACTGACCTTTCTGCCTCTAATTTCTTTTACTTTCAAATTAATATATGTAATGATCATGTAATTATCTTTCTAATATTACTTCCTGTATTTAATCTTACCTTTTTTTCTGCCTCCTTGCTCAAGTATATTCAGAGATTCCTACTATTGACTGGTTGAAGTCTAAACACCTTACTTTGGTATTCAGGTCTCACTGACCATTTTTCTTTTTTTTTTTCTCTTCTACACTTATCTCTGACTACTTACTTACAGAGGAACTTTTTGTGTCTTTCAGGTTGGACTATCTATTCTCCCTTGAACATGCCACATGGGTTTCTGCCTCTCTGTCTTTGTGTACATCATTTTCTTAACTGGAGGATCTTGGCTTTTCTCCTTTTCACTTCTTTTTAAAATCTTTTTAAAGATTTATTTATTTGAGGGAGCGAGAGTGAGCAAGCATGTTGTTTGGGGTGGGGAGTCAGTGAGGGAGGGGCAGCGGGAGAGAGAGAATCCCAAGCAGACTCTCTGCTGAGCATGGAGCCTGATGTGGGGCTTGATCTCACGATCCTGAGATCATGACATGAGCTGAAATCAAGAGTCAGATGCTTAACTGTCACCCAGGTGCCTCTCCTTTTCACTTGGTAAAGCCCATTTATTGGCGTATGCCCCTTTTCATTGTTGTTTTAATCTTCCATGAATATGCTTTGTCCTCTCCACTAGATTGTAAGCCCTTCCAAGGTAGGGATAATACTTACTTTGTTTCCCCATTACTTAACATACTACTCTGCCTTGGTAGGCTTTCAATAAGTGGTTTGTTCATAAAGATTTTCTTCAACTATTTCATTCCTGGGGCCGACCTGAGGTTATGTCTTGAGAAAAGTACCCTGGTCTTCTCTAAGACTGCCTGGGTTTTTCCAATTTCCTCCATTTTCCCTTCCTCTTAGGTTCTGTCCAGGGCAAGGCACAGGTTCTGATGCTGACTGGGAAGGCACTGAATGTGACTCCAGACTACAGTCCTAAGGCTGAGGAGCTTCTGTCAAAGGCTGTGAAGCTGGAGCCCAAGCTGGTGGAAGCCTGGAACCAGCTGGGAGAGGTGTACTGGAAGAAAGGCGATATTGCGGCTGCCCACACCTGCTTCTCAGGAGCCCTGACCCATGTGAGCCAACTGGGGAAACACAGATGGGAAGGCCGACATTCCTTTGGTTCTGTGAATCTCCCTAGGATGTGAATACCAGAATAGGACTGTACTAGACCTAGGAGAATGGAATCAGAGGGGAGGAGGAGTCAGGGAGCAGATGTGGCTGAGGAAAACAGGGATAGAGACTAAGAAAGGAAGAACATGATGGGATCAGTTTCAGGGGTAGATGAGAAGTGAAGAAAAATTAACAGCCAAGTTGATCCTTGTAGACAGTGCTAAGAATCAAGATGAGAAATTAGATTTAGAAGATAAAGATAGAAGAGATCTGGAAAGGGGAATTAGAATCAGGAAGGTTGCGTATGTGTCTTCTTTGTTTGCAGTGCAAGAACAAGGTCTCTCTTCAAAACCTGTCCATGGTGCTTCGCCAGCTGCGAACTGACACTGGAGATGAACATTCTCGTCATGTCATGGACAGTGTCCGACAGGCTAAGTTGGCTGTGCAGATGGATGTCCACGATGGCCGCTCCTGGTGTGAGTGCTCTTGAAAGATCTCCCACAGTCCCACAAGTTTCCAGAGCAGTGGTTCTCAACATGGCCACACATGCCAGAATCTTCTGGAGCCCACCTATTGGGTCTGATTTTTAATGTCAAGCCTGGGCATCTTTGTTTTGAAGAAGCCTGAAAGGTATTTTGATGAACCACGGTTCTAGGAACTCTTGGATCTTATCATCCAAGAGAGGATGCTTATGTTTCCACATAAGCAAGGCAGGGCTTTTGTGCAGTCTGCTCAGGTTTCTGCTTTGGCTCTGTGTTCACCTCTTTATCCCAGTGGAATTTGGAGTATACTAAATATGGTGTTATCACTGGGGTCTGTCAGATGGGGGACCTTTCAGAGAGTTTTTTGAGGGTAACCAAAATAGGTCGTATCCTGAACCTGGGCTCTGAGGTGACTCACCACTGTGTTTCTCAGGGTTTTTCCCCTACTTAGGTGGGGCAGGGTGGCTAGAGTGGGCTGCGGCTGGGTGTCTCCCCTCCCCCACGTGGATGGCTACAGCCAGATGGAAATTTTCCTTCCTTAGGTTAGTTAGGCTCTAGTTAGCTAGTTTCTTCTGAGGGCAGGCCTCGTGAGGAACAGGGTGCTCTAGCATATTTCGGAACAGTTCTTTCTCCCCTTTCCCCTGCTGGAAGTAGGGGAAAGAAGGGGATTTTTCTTGGATACTTGCTATACGAATCTGGTTGAGCTTCTGGAGGTAAATCTCAACAATATTGTGGGGGCCTCCTTATGCCTGGGACCCTGGGAGTTTCTGACTCCCTGACTTGTCCATATTGAACCCCCAGCTCTTCGTCAGTTACATTTGAGGTGTTCCTACCTCAGCACTGGTTCCTGCGGCTCGTGAGTTTCTGCCCTGGTGAGCCACAAGACCTGTGTTTGCCTGTCTGTCTCCAGTTTTAGGGGCAGTAGTTTGCCCTGCGTTGTTCCCTGTCCTATGGATCCAAGAAGAGTTGTGGGTTTTTCAGTCCATCAGGGTGGAGTGGTGACTTCCAAGCCCTTTACACGAGGAACCAGAATCCGTTTGTTTCTATTTCAGATATTCTGGGGAATGCGTATCTTTCTCTTTACTTCAATACTGGCCAGAACCCTAAGATCTCCCAGCAAGCCCTCAGTGCCTATGCCCAAGCAGTAAGTATGTATGGTCACAACAGAAGCAAGAGTGTCATTCAGTCTTCTCTGTGGCTCTTTAGCAAGCAACATGGACAGTAATCAGTGGCATCAAGTGTGCATGGTTTTGCAAAGCTGTGTCTGCTGGGGTGACTTATTTCTTCTTATAACTGGGGTATTAGCAGCTACTTAAAGGGTGCCTCAGTGCTAGATAGCTCTTTGAACTACCTGGATTTCCTGCGGGCACTTATGACCAAATCCCAGAACCCATCCCAATGTGTTCATCTTTTGTGGTGGGGATAAAAGTCTATATTAAAATAATGTTTATTAATATTTGTATGTGTTTAAAGAAAAATGAAAGCTCTAATACTTAAGTATAAATGAAGTGCTATCCTGCGATTAACCATGAGACACTATGACTCTGGGTTTCCCACAGGCTAAAATCAAAATCAAAAACAGTGGAGACACTTGGCTGGCTCAGCATAAGACTCTTGATCTCGGGGTTGTGAGTTTAATCCCCATGTGGGGTGTAGAGATTACTTAAAAATGAAAGCTTTACAATAGAAAACAGCGTCTAGCTTACTCTGCATCATTTCTTCAGGATCAGTCCAGTGGAGCTCATGTTCTGCTTAGGCCTTTCAGGCTGTTTTTCTATCAATAGTCGCTTACATGAGGGATTCCTTCAGGCTTGAGCTCTTGATTACTCCTTATAAAAGGTTCACATTGGCCTAAGCAGTTTTTATTTGGGCCTCGTATTCATCTCTCTTTTTTTGCTTTCTTGCTTGTCTTGACATAAAGAATTGTCTTTTAACTTAGTATTACTTATTTGTTCTGTGTGACAAAATAGAGAATAAGCTACCTTCTGTTCATGTTTGTAGTTGAGGGACTGATGTTTTTTCCATCAGGGAACTTGAAGGCAGAGGAGTTATATTTTAGTCTAATTTCTTACTTTGGTGGATGTTTACATTTTAAAAAATAGTAATGGTGTATTCTTTAAAAATTTTATATTTGGCTTCCACTAAATTGTTGCTTTTAACTCTTAATTTCTTTACCCAAATCTGCATTTTTAAACATGTTTAAACCAACCATTTAAACAGTTTTTTTTTAAAGATTTTATTTATTTGTCAGAGAGAGAGAGAGAAAGAGAGAGAGAGAGCGAGTGCATAAGCAGGCAGAGCGGCAGACAGAGGTGGAAAGAGAAGCAGGCTCCCTGCTGAGCAAGGTGCCAATGCGGGACTCAATCCCAGGACCCTGGGATCAAGACCTGAGCCAAAGGCAGCAGACTGAGCCACCCAGGCATCCCCATTTAAATAGTTTTAATCCATGTTGTTTTTACTTTTATAACGTGCTAGGCAATGAACATAATCAGAAAAATAAGCTGAACATGGCCATGAACATAGCAGTTTCTTCACATCCATCTGCACTTTCATGTGGTTTCTGGTCATCTATTTAAATTAGAGAATCAGAATTTGATTTTCAGTGGATTTTGAAGGAGGCTTGAATGTAGAAACATGCTTCTTCCTGTATCTGGAGCGGGGCTGATGGGCGCAGGAAATGCATTAAATTGATGACATTTCTTTTCTAGGCTTTCCTCATTTATACCATTATATCACCATTAAATTTTTTTTTAATCAAAATGCTTTTATACGTTTATTTTTGTACTATTGCATGGATAAATTATATTCAAAGTTTCATACACATCCCCAAACCCTTACCTCCTTAAGGTGTCAGGGACTACGTAATATACCACTCAGGTAGTTACTGTATAACAGTGTGGGTATAGGTAACATTTTGACAAGGAAGAAACTCGAATTTTTGCAGGGGGAGAGGACTAGGCCATGTTGGGCATGGTCATCCGTAAGAATGAGACAGGATCCACTGATCATCCTTTTCTCCTGCTACAGGAGAAGGTTGACAGGACAGCTTGCAGCAATCCTGATCTTCATCTGAACAGGGCAACGGTAAGACCTGTGGGGTGGTGGTCATCTGCAAGTCACCTAGGTGACATCTGAGTCTTTGCCTGGGACAGTAACTGAGTATTCATAGGGACAGGGCTGAGTACAAACTATGAGAGAAAAGCCACATTATTTTGAGGGAGGGTTGGCCCAGTTTGACTTTAGGATCTGATGGAGTCTATGGCGGGAAAGAGGACGGGGCTGAAGAGGCAGGAGGGTACACAGAGGATGGAGGGACAGTTTAGGAGACTCTTCTGAAATGTTCGTTATAAATATAAAAATAGAATGACCCACTGTATGCAGCGTAAATATGTTCGAATTTGGAAGTTAGTGTCTTTGAAATGATTCCATCTTCGGGATTTGTGATCCTCTGAGCCAGGAGGAGGGATGTAAAGCATTGTTCTTTCTTTAGGCTGTTTGTCATAGATCAGGGAAACCACTAGAAAGAAAACAATTTATTTCTGTAGATTCCTAGCACGTTGTACTGTTACTCCCCCTAGCATAGTTCGTGTTAGATACACATGTAACTGGGAGGTTTTCATTTACTTTTTGTGCAGTTACATAAATATGAAGAGAATTATGGGGAGGCCCTGGAGGGCTTCTGTCGGGCTGCAGTACTGGACCCTGCCTGGCCAGAGCCCCGGAGACGAGAGCAGCAACTTCTGGAATTCTTGAATAGATTAACCAGCCTCCTTGAGAGCAAGGTAAAGGTGTCAAAAGGCTGGATCCTGCTTTTCTTCTCCTGGGGGTCAATACAATAAGAATAAAATAGGCTTCATTCGTAGTGACTCTATCTACAGAAGTGGGTAGGTGGGAGTAGGAGTAGACTCTCACAGAGAGTGACTAGTTTATAGCTTTTTATCTTTTTCCTTTTCTTTTTTTTTGCAGGGAAAGGTGAAGGCCAAAAAGTTGCAGAGCATGCTGGGAAGCTTGCGCCCAGCCCATCTAGGCCCCTGTGGCGATGGGCGCTACCAGTCAGCCTCTGGGCAGAAATTGACCCTGGAGCTCAAGCCACTGAGTGCCCTACAGCCTGGGGTGAACAGTGGTGCTGTGGTCCTAGGAAAGGTGGTGTTCAGCCTCACCACAGAGGAGAAGGTCCCCTTGTGAGTTTCTCTTGCCTTTCCTCTTTTTCATTCTTTTGAACTAATGGGTTTTACTTCCTGGCCCTTCTCTGACAGTGAGGACGTTGTTGGTGGTCACAGATTAGTGCGTTCTGCTTCGCTGACTGTCCTATGAGCAGGTATTATCTAGGAGATGTTTCACAAAGCTCTCCCTAGATTTTGTCATCCCCTTTTTTTTTGTTCCCCCCCCCCCCCCCAGAGCTTGGTGCTCTGGATTCCTACATCCATAGCTGAAATTTGAATGCTGTTTTTATAAGGCAGATGGAAACCTTGAAATTCTGCCTCTTTGTGTTTTCATGATCCCAGAAGTTGGAAGAGGGAGAGTTTTTAGTCCTGTTGGGACTTTGGTATGCCTAGGCAGTTCTGGAAGGCTAGCTTTAAGTTAGAATTTAAGGCCTGATGGGGAGATAGTCTTAGATGTTCTTCAACAAATATTTATTGAGCATCTGGTATATGTATGGTAGGGAGTGAAATGTAAAGGATCCAAGTGAAGGTGCTTACAGTCTAGCAGAGAGAATGAGTTAAGAACATTCTCTCAGAAAATATGTATTTTTTAAAGATTTTATTTTTATTTATTTATTTTTATTATGTTCAATTAGCAAACATAATACACTGTTAGTTTTTGATATAGTGTTCAGTGATTCATTGAAAGATTTTATTTTTAAGTAATCTGTACACTCTTAGTGCAGGGCTTGAACCCACAACCCCGAGGTCATGAGTCACACATTGTACTGACTGAGCCATCTAGGCACTTAGATATTTATTTATTTAAAAGATTTTATTCATTTGTCAGAGAGAGAGCACAGGCAGGGGGAGCAGCAAGCACAGGGAGAGGGAGAAGCAGGCTCCCCGCTGAGCAGGAAGCCCAGTGCGGGATTCCATCCTAAGACCATGTGATCATGACCTGAGCTGAAGGCAGATGCTTAACTGACTGAGCTACCCAGGCGTCCTTCACTTAGAAAATTTTTAACTCTTGAAAAATTGCAGTTTAGTCCATGTCATTACCCTTGGTCCTTTCCTTACTTCCTGATCCCTCATTGACTGGTTTCCTTTTTTTGTTTTCTACTGAATTTATTTTGTCTGGCATCACCAGTGTTTGGTCCAGTGGCTTCCACTACATGGCTCTACAACATTTTGACTTCCTTCTCACTGTTCCTTTTCATATCTCTTCTGCTTCATCCAAATCCAAATACATCCTGTTACATGTCTGAACTTTCTCCGTGGCATTCTCTAGAGATGCACGAGTTGAAGAGCAATAAAGTAGTAGAGAAAAGTTTAGTTAACTAGTGCAGACTCGAAAACTGAGAGGAATGAGAAGGAGAGATGGACAAATGTGGATTTTAGGGGGTCTCGAGGACAAATATTTTGTCACTCCTTGGTTTCTCTTTTTAACTTCTAAATGTTAAGTCCAGAAGGATGCTGTTTTTGTCCTTTCCTCTTTTCTCCCTTTACCAGGAGACTTACAGTTCTGAGGCTTTGATTGGATTCACTAGCAGAGTGCTGGGATTGATTGCGGTGTTGGTTATGAATTTGGGTGTACCAAGTGGTGGCATGAGCCCCAGTTCTTTGCCATCTTTAGAGGTCATCTCCTTTGGTGATGTCCTATAAATACAAGGCTGTGGCTGCCCCCACCATGCTCACAGGTGTATCTCCAGTCCAAGCCTCATTTCTAAGTTTGAATTCCTATATCCAGCTGCCTCTGGGCTCCCAACAGAAATGTCTAACTCACTATGTCCAAAATTGCTTGCTTTCTCTTTCTCTCTAAATTGTTTCTCCACCCTGACTTTCTTGTCAATCAGTGGTGCACTTCTGCTCAGTCACTTAATTAAGACTTCTGGAAGTTGTTCTGGAATTCTCCATTCTCCTGCATTACGGCACTCATCAAGTCCAATACATCCCCCCACCGCCCCGTCTCTGTGGACACAATGTAGCCCCTTATTGCTTCTCCAGACAGGTCTTTGGACTCCTTGTTTTTTGTCCAGTGTTCCACAGTGCGGAGAAATATTTTCACAGTGTGGAGAAATATTTTCACAGTGTAGAGAAGCAACACAATGTTAGATGCCATTTCCTGTATAAAATCCCTTCTTACGCCTGTGCTTACTTTCAGGATAAAGTTTGAACTCTTAGATTAGCTTAGCGTGCAAAGTCCTTCATAATCTGCTCTGTGCCTGCCTCTTTCCATTCTCTTCTTTCACTTTCCCACTTGTGCCTCTTGTTCCTGTCTTGTCATAGTTTTGTAGGTTCCAGAACGGCTGTTTTCATGCCTTTACACACAGCACATGTCTGTCTGGATAATCCTTTGGCTGCTTCTTGATACAACTCACATTTTCCCCCCAACATTTTATTTTAAACTTTTCAGACACCGCAAAATTAAAAGAATTTTGCAGTGAACAGGGACGCCTGGGTGGCTTAGTTGGTTAAGTGGCTGCCTTCAGCACAGGTCATGATCCCAGGTTCCTGGTATCGAGTCCCACATTGGTCTCCTTTCTCAATGGGGAGCCTGCTTCTCTCTCTGCCGCTGTCTGTTTGTGCTCTCTCTCTCTCTTTGACAAATAAATAAATCTTAAAAAATAAATCTTAAAAAAAAATCTGCATACCCAACCACCCATATTCTACCACTAATACCTTACTTGGTTCCTCATGTATCTCTATGTCCCCTTATTAATCTATTAATCCATCTTATTTTTGGAGCATTGCAGAGTAAATTGCAAAGATCAACATACTTTCCCTGAAATACTTAAGCATGTAATCATTAACTAGAGTTCAGTATTTATTCTTCTTTTTATGTAAAATTTACGTAGAATGAAATATACAAATCTTAGTGTACATTTGCTAAATTTTGACTAACATACATCTATGTAACCCAAACACCTGTCAAGATAGAGCGCATTACTTACCAGCACCTCAGAAAGTTCTCTTGTGTTCCCTCCCAGGTAATCCCTGTTCCCATTCCCCCAGAGGTTTTCTGTTCCTACTGAGGATTAGTTTTCTTTTTGTAACCCAGATAATTTTTCATCCTTTACATTCCGTTTGAGGCTCTCCTTCTAAGGAAACCTCCCCTGCTTTGTCCTCTGGGTTCCCAAGGTCCCACCTTTGGCCTCACTGAACTCAGCATGAGGGAGAAGCTGTTCTAGCACCTCTCACACTTGTCTTGTAAGTGACGGTTTAAGTGTCTGACTCCTGCTAGACTGTAAGCTTACTCACAGCTGGATCACTGTCTTCTCACTAAGCACAAAGCTTGACACATGATAGGTATTCACTGAAGGTTTGTGGGATTCAGTGACATTGGCGGTGATGCTTAGAGAATTGGAAGGTTATGACCAGGACCAGGAATAAAGTTGCAGCTGCCACATTTTGAGCTGGTTCATTATTAGTATTTGTTGAATGGTCCCAGCGTCCATACATCTCAAGTGTGTCGCAAAGTGACTGATGAGTCTTGTGCATAACCTTTATCAAAGATATTGTATATGTATGAAAAATGAGGACTCAGACGTGCGTAGTGGATGATGGTTACCTGTCATAAGTGTTCTAAGTAACTGAGAAAGCATTTGTTTATTTTGTTGGTATTTTAAAACCACTGTTTTTGCTCTTCTTTCCTGCCCACTTTCCTCCCCACCCCTCCCTTAACCCATCTTAACCTGGCAGTACATTTGGCCTGGTAGATTCAGATGGACCTTGCTATGCAGTGATGGTGTATAACATGGTACAGAGTTGGGGAGTGCTCATTGGGGACTCTGTAGCCATTCCCGAGCCCAACCTCCGGCTTCACCAAATTCAGCACAAAGGAAAAGTGAGTGATGGCCAGGATTTGTTCCCAGCTCATAGGCTCTGAAAGTGGGGCCGAGTTTATTTCCTTTAACAAATATGTAAAATAATGCATGTATATGTATATGTATGTGTGTATACATATGCATACATGTAATTTTTGTTTGTTTTTTTTACTAAAGAGGGAAACTACTGGTAAACAAAAAGAATTTTAAAAAAGGACTGGACAGAGAAAGACAAATACTGTATGATATCACTTCTCTGGAAAGTAATAAAGCTGAAATTAGGAGAACAGAGACTACAATTGTAGTTGCCAGGGGCTGTGGGAGTCGGCATATTAGGGAGATATTGTTTAAGGGTTAGACTTGCAGTAGTTAAATGTGTCCTGGAGACCTAATGCTTAGTACAGTGATTACAGACAACAACATGGTATTATATACTTCCGAGCTGCCAAGAGACTAGATCTTAATTGTTCCCATGACAAAAAAAGCAATGACAATTACATGACATGATAGAGGTGTTAGCTAACACCGTGGTGGTCATCAGATTCCAGTATATAAATACATTAAATAAACATGTTTACACCTTAAACTTGCACAATGTTAGATGCCAGTTATCTCAACAAAAATTTTTTAAAAACTGGACCAAAATATTATCACTCAGATGTTATTACTGTTAGCGGTTTTGTCTGTACACCTCCAGTCTTTTTTTTCATAAATCTGCACATGCTGCACATCCATATGTATATTTTTAAAAAGAGCGGAATAGTATATGTAATGTTTGTGAACATTTCCCGTGTTTTTACATATTCTACAACATTGCTTTAAATGGACACGCAGAGGTGGTGATAAGGACGATGATGATAGTTAACATTTACTGAAAACTTAACTGACTGTTAGATGCTGGGTTAAGAGCTTTTTTGCCTGTACTGGCTCATTTCATCATCACAGAAATCTTACATGAGTCGCTGTTTAACCATTTTTCACATTTAGATTAGGGGTTGACAGCTGGTGGCCTATTGACCAAATCTGGCTCCCTGCCTGTTTCATATGGCCTGTGAGACAAGAATAGTGTCTGTATTTTCAAATAAAAGCAATCGGAAGAAGAATAATAATTGGTGATACCTGAAAATTCAGAAAATCCAAATTTCAGTGTCCACAAATTAATTTTTTTGGAACCTAGCCACGCTCATTTGTTCATGATTGTCTGTGGCTGCTTTTTGTAGTGTCCGAGTTGAATAGTTCTGTGACAGAGACTGTAGAGCCCGTAAAGCCTAAACTGTTACTTGGACATTTACAGAAAAAATACAGTGCCCCCAGATATAGATTATTTCTAATTTTTCCCTGTCATAAAGGCACTGCAGTGAAAAAATTTGTATCTGTCTGTGTCCAGGATTATTTACTTAAATGAATTTTAAGGTAGAATTCTGGCTCTAAAGGGTATGCAGAATTCTAGGACTTTTGCCACATATTGCCAAGTTAATTTTTGGAATGTCGTACCAGTTCTTACCAACAGTAGATGTGAGCGAGTGTTTCTTTGTAGTTTTCTCAGCTCTGGGGAGAAACCTTTGAAACATTATATGCTGCTTTTACATGAAAAATATAGCATCAGTATTGTTTTGCTTTGGTTTCTTGAATATTCGTGAGGTTGGACATTTTATCAGATGTTTATTGACTATTCCTTTTATAAATCAGCTTTTTTTTTTCTTTTTTTTTTGGTCATTGCCCATATTCCTGTTAGGATGTTAAAAAAATTTGATTTAATTCACCTCATTACTTTGACTTAAAAGGGCTGCCTTCACACTCCTGGTGGGAAAGTATTTTTTGGATAAAGATCTTTTTTTAACATGTTTTATAACTTAAAATACATTTGAACTGGTAAAGGGAGCTGTCTTTTCTGTTATTAGAAGAATGTCTAAACTACACATTCTGTTTCTTCCTGCTGATGCAAAAGGAGAGGTAACTTGAATTTATATTTGGCAGATTAATTTTGGGCCTTACAAACACTTGGACTTGGAGTTTCTCAGAATTTTTACTGGTGGCTCTGTGTATCTGGGTTTTTGTTTTTGTTTTTAAGATTCTATTTTATTTTATTTATTTTTTAAAAGATTTTATTTATTTGACAGAGAGATACACAGTGAGAGAGGGAACACAAGCAGGGGGAAAGGGAGAAGGAGAAGCAGACTCCCCACCGAGCAGGGAGCCTGATGTGGGGCTTGATCCCGGGACCCTGGGATCATGACCTGAGCTGAAGGCAGATGCTTAATGACTGAGCCACTCTGATGCCCCTAAGATTTTATTTTTAAGTAAGCTCTACATCCAGCATGGGCTCGAACTCACAGCTCAGATATCAAGAGTCACATGCTTCACTGACTGAGCCTGCCTGGTGCCCCTCTGTGTATCTGGTTTTGTCAGGAAACAACAGGAAGGGCAGATTCTGTGAGAACTGGTGGTGGTGCCCTTTTGCTAGGCTGTGCCGGAACCTGTCTTTTTTCAGAGAATTGTCCCGTTCTTGTAGTGGTATTACTGGCGTGTTACTTTCCCCAGATTTTCCTTCTGAAGATTGAAAACTTGGGGAAAATGACATCCCTTTGCTAGCTCAGCTTTGTTTCTTTAGTGTGAGATAGAGGTAAGGGGTGTATGTCCTGAGGGGGAAGGAATGGGGAGAAAGCCCCACTGGTGTATCCCTGTGCTGAAGTTGCTTCTATCTTAGGATCTGTAACGCACCTCTGTGTTTGTCTTTTCTAGGACTATTGCTTTTCCAGTGTTCGTGTGGAGACACCCCTCCTGCTGGTGGTGAATGGGAAGCCTCAGGGCTCCAGCAGTCAGGCTGCTGCCACAGTGGCATCTCGGCCCCAGTGTGAATGACCTTACCTGACTTGCATGCTAAGGAGTCGGGTTGAGAGGAGAAGCTCACGGGCACTTAGCAGCTGGACCACCTACATCCCATGACTCAGCCAGGCTGCGGGGGATGTTTGAGATGATGACTTTTCCTTTCCTCTGCCCTGTGAGACACTGTGTGTCTCTTCTTTTCCTCCTTTTATCCTGTTCAAGCTCTCTCTGAGGCCACACACTCCTTGGTGTAATACCTGCAGCCTCTTTCATTGCTCTTCTGTGTTTTAGGCAAAGAGCATGGAATTGGTAGAAGTGTGGGATCTTGCCATGGGATGGTGTTCCCAAGGTTCTTGTTCTTGCCTCCCTCCTGAGCCTCATGTGTATATATCATTTCAGTATTTATTGCTGAGGGAGGGGGCTTAATTTTTTAATGGCTTGGTTTTTTTTTTTTTTTCAATTTTTATTTTATTTTTATTTTTAAACTTTAGGTTCTTCCCCTTCTTTGGGGCTAGAACAGAATTAAATTTGTTTGGAGAAAAATAATACTGTAGTTTGGCTTTATTCTCTCCAAGCTTAGATTTTGGTTTTAGGATCACTTCAGTCTGTACTCTCCCCTGCCACCCCACACCACCCTTTTTTTTCTTCACATAAAATAGTTCATTTCTCTCCCAGTTAAAAGAATTCTGACAACAAGCAGCCCAAGGCAGGAATGATAACCCCACAAAGTCAATAGGTTCCTACCATTTCACCCTTCTGTCATCCCTAGGGGTGGCCCTCACCATGGTATAAGATGACAGTAATATTATTCTAATAGTGTTACTGGGCTGCAAGACCAGAGGGAGCTAGGTATTCAGTTCCTTTAGATTATAGTGATATGTTTTGTAGTAGTTTTTTTTTACCCCTTAAGATTTATTTATTTATTTGAGAGGGAGACGGTAGGGGGAGGAATAGGGGAGAGAATCTTTCAGCAGACCCCACTGAGTGTGGAGCCTGACTTGGGACTTGATCTCAGGACCCTGAGATCATGATCTGAGCCAAGACCAAGTGGGACACTTAACTGACTGAGCCACTCAGGCACCACGGTCTTGTTGAGCTCTTGATCATTGGCTTGAATATCATTGGTGACTCATTCATTTTATAAAGAATATAAAACTCAGAGGACTGCTCAGAGAATGGGTGATAAAAATAAGCTAAATGGATGATAATAATGGATGTTAAAACTGAAAAAGTTACAGGGGCTGAATCTAAGATAAAAGCTTAAAGTCATTGTTTTGGTCCCAAAAGGCCAACTTCATAGGTGTCTCTTTAGCATCATGTGCAAAAAATTACTGGGAATTTTAGTAGATAAAGTTAGTGTGAGTAGTCCATGTGCACAGTTGCAAAAAGCTCTGTTTTCCGACTGTACCAGTGAATCCAGTAGCCAGGGAGTTTTCAACACAGCCCACACATGGAGTTTTGTGTGCAGTTCTGGGCATTGATTTTGAGACCTACAGTCATGGGAGAGCAATCAGGAACTTGAAGGGGTGTAAAATGCCTTGAGAAAAGGCTGAAAGCAACTGGGGAGGGTGTGGGGGTGGTGTGATGTGTGTGCATTCGAGTCAGTAGAGAGATGAGAGCCAGTCACACTTCCCCTTTTACCTAAGTCCTGGGTGTGGTTTTACATACTTGGTGTTAGGACCAGACAGTAGAGAAATGTGCCTAAATGGGGTGTCTTCATTGGATGGGGGTTCCCAGATGTGGGGCGACCATCGGTTGGAAGCTGGTGGCGCAGGTGGTGAAAGAATGGACCTGAGGCAGAAAAGGAGAGAAGTTTATTGACTACACCACTAGGGAGCAGCAGGCAGGAGGGCAGAGGAGGGGCTGTCTGCTTCGAGGCAGTGGGTTGGGGCTGTATTTAAAGGGAGATGGTGAAGAGGTAATGCGGCCTATGGAATTCTCCCGTTTTTGGTAACTGTGCCTGGTTGTGAGTAGCACATTGGTCAGTGAGGGCCTATGGAAATTTTGAGGTGGGGCACCGGATGGGTGGGTGGGTGGGGTAGCTGTGGGCCTCTCTACCTTCTAACGCTCAAACCTGTTTGACTAAAAACGACCTCTACAGTAGAGTGAAACAGAACTTAAAAGATTTAAGATGAAGTACATGTTCAGGTGAGTATGCAAATGTGTACGTTGTTTAGAGAGTAATTAGAATACCTGTGAAAATGTCCACCTGGCTTATAAACTAGAACATCCCTAGTATCTTAGAAGCCCTTGTGTGCTTCTCCATGAGCTCATTTGTTTTCACAGCTGGAAAATATTTCATTGTATGATTGTGCCACAGTTTAGTCATCCTACTGTTCAAGGATATTTGGGCTTGTTGTTGTCAAGGTAGCACATTATTAATATTCTGCACTTGTCTTGAATGTGTAAGTGTAAGAGTTTCTTTAATAGCAATGGTTCTCAAAAACTGGTCCCCAGACCAACCGCATCATCACCACCTGGAGCTACTTATCCCCCACCCCACCCCACACCCCACACCCCCCCTCAGAGAGAGTTAATGAGAAGGGGGGGAGGGGGAATGGGTGGAGGGAGGGATTGCATTCCATATATAGATCAGTTTAGGAAAATAGACATCTTTATAACTTTGAATCTTCTTATCCATGATTTTCTTCATTTATTTAAGTCTAATTCAATGTCTTTCAATATAATTATATACTTTTTCCAGAAAAGTCTTATATATATTTTATTTTTTTTAAGATTTTATTTGAGAGAGAAAAAAAAGAGAGAGCTTGAGAGAGGGAAGGGTAAAAGAGAGGAGACTTCCTGCAGAGCAGGGAGCCTGATGGGGACTCCATCCTGGAACTCCAGGATCATGACCTGAGCTAAAGGCAGTCGTTCACCAACTGAGCCACCCAGGCACCTCTTATATATATTTTATTAAATTTATTCCTAAATACTAAGTAGTATTCAGTACTATTGTAAATAGTGTCATCTGGGTATTTACCCCAAAGATACAGATGTAGTGAAAAGAAGGGCCATCTGTACCCCAATGTTTATAGCAGCAATGGCCACGGTCACCAAACTCTGGAAAGAACCAAGATGCCCTTCAACGGACGAATGGATAAGGAAGATGTGGTCCATATACACTATGGAGTATTATACCTCCATCAGAAAGGATGAATACCCAACTTTTGTAGCAACATGGACGGGACTGGAAGAGATTATGCTGAATGAAATAAGTCAAGCAGAGAGAGTCAATTATCATATGGTTTCACTTATTTGTGGAGCATAACAAATAGCATGGAGGACAAGGGGAGTTGGAGAGGAGAAGGGAGTTGAGGGAAATTGGAAGGGGAGGTGAACCATGAGAGACTATGGACTCTGAAAAACAATCAGGGTTTTGAAGGGGCAGGGGGTGGGAGGTTAGGGGATCCAGGTGGTGGGTATTGGAGAGGGCACAGATTGCATGGAGCACTGGGTGTGGTGCAAAAATGAATACTGTCACGCTGAAGAAATAAAAAAATTAAAAAAAAATAAAAGTTACATTTGCTATGTGTGGGACTAGAAATACAACTGGCTTTTTTTTTTTTTTTAAAGATTTTATTTATTTATTTGCGAGAGAGGGTGAGAGCATGCATGAGCACAAGCAGGGAGAGCTGCAGAGGGAGAGGGAGAAGCAGGTTTCCCATTGAGTAGGGAGCCTGACACAGGGCTGGATCCTAGGACCATGACCTGAGCTGAAGGCAGATGCTTAACCAGCTGAACCACCCAGGTGCCCCCAACTGGCTCTTTTATATATTTTTCATAGCTGTGACCTTTTCAGAATCTCTCATTCTAATAATTTGTTGCCTCTGTTGGGTTTTCAACATACAAATAATGACTGTTTTGTATTTTTCTTTCCAGTCCTTTTACATGTTACCTTTTCTTTTCTGTGTAGTTATGACCTCCAGTATGCTGAATACAAGTGATGCTGAATACAAGCATCCTGGTCTTGTTGCTATACTTAAAGGAAATATTTTCAATATTTAATAAAAAGTGTAAACTCACAAACTAATAAATTTCACTCGTGACCCACAGATATAAAATCCTAAATAGTATGCAAGTGAATCCAGCAATATATACAAAAATATATATCCTGACTAAGGAAGGTTTGTACCAAGAATGCAAGTTTGGTTTATTAATTGAAAGTCAAGTGTTCTACTTCCCACATTAACAGATTAAAGGAGAAAAATTATTTGCCCTTTCAATAAATGCAGAAAAAGCATTGGATAAATTATAACACCTTTTCATGGCAAATACTCAAAACAGGTGTAGAATCTAAGATCAAGTGTATATTAAAAGCACATAATAGTCTAGTCTTTTTTTATTAAAGATTTTTATTTATTTATTTGACAGAGATCACAAGTAGGCAGAGAGGCAGGCAGAGAGAGAGGAAGGGAAGCAGGCTCCCCACTGAGCAGAGAGCCCGATGCAGGGCTGTATCCCAGCACCTTGGGATCATGACGTGAGCCGAAGGCAGAGGCCTTAACCCACTGAGCCACCCAGGTGCCCCTCTAGTCTGGTTTTGATATGAAACATAAGCTAGCCTCATACAATGAGTAAAGAGTATTTCTTCTACACGTTTATTTAAAAAGTTTATTTTATTTTTTTAAGACTATTTATTTATTTGTCAGAGAGATAGAGAGCGCGCACAGGCAGGCAGAGTGGCAGGCAGAGGCAGAGGGAGAAGCAGGCTCCCTGGCCAGCAAGGAGCATGATGCGGGACTTGATCCCACGACCCTGGGATCATGACCTGAGCAGAAGGCATCGGCTTAACCCATTGAGCCACCCAGGCATCCCGAAAAGTTTATTTTAAATCAGTTTATATTTTTCTTGGTAAAACTTGCATATAAAATTATCAGTACCTGACTTTCATTATTGTTGTTTCATATTTTTATTTGAATTCTAGTTAGTTATTTAAATTCCAGTTATAGTGTAATATTGGTTTCAGATGTAGAATTTAGTGATTCATCACTTATGTATAACACCCAGTGCTCATCCTAACAAGTGCCCTCTTTAATCCCCATCACCCATCTAGCCCATCCCCTGCCCACCTCCCCTCCAGCAACCCTGTTTGTCCTCTGTAGTTAAAGAGTCCCTTATGGTTTGTCTCCAATTTTTTTTCTTTCCTTCTGTTCATCTGTTTTGTTTCTTAAATTCCAGATGTGAGTGAAATCATATGATATTTGTTTTTCTCTGACTGACTTATTTCATTTAGCACAATACCCTCTAGTTCCATCCACATTGTTGCAAGTGGCAAGATTTCATTCTTTTTTATGGCTGAATAATATTCCCTCCCGTGTGTGTGTGTGTGTGTGTGTGTGTGTGTGTGTGTGTGTGTGTGTATCTTTATCCATTCTCCAGTCGATGGGCATTTGGGCTCTCTCCATAGTTGGGATATTGTTGATAATGCTGCAATAAACATTGGGGTGCAGGTGCCCCTTTGAATCAC